TCCTTTAATTAATCCACCCCCTCTAATTAATCCACCCCCTCTAATGATCACCCCCCTCTAATAAATCCACCCCCCGTTTAATTAATCCAACCCCCTTTTAATCCACCCCTCCACCCCCTCCTAATTAATCCACCCCTCCTTTAATTAATCCACCCCTCCTTTAATTAATCCTCTAATTAATCCACCCCCCTAATTAATCCACCCCTCCTTTAATTAATCCACCCCCCCTAATAAATCCACCCCTCCTAATAAATCCACCCCCTCTAATAAATCCACCCCCCGTTTAATTAATCCAACCCCCCTTTAATAAATCCACCCCCCTCTAATTAATCCAGCCCCCCCTTTAATTAATTCACCGCCCCCTTTAATTAATTCAGTCCCAGACATAAAATATCTACTCACAGATGCCTTCCTTGCCCGCCGAGTCCGACCACTGGGTGCCTCACCGCCCGGAAATGGATCCTTCCGCTGAAGATCCGTGAAGGCAGACTGACGACGCTGCGCACGTCGTCATCACGTTGCGCGATGCCGCGGCCTGCAACGCTCCTCCTCCTCCTCATAGAAGAAGGAAGTCCCGCCGGACCGAAAGGTACAATGCCTAGGTCTTATTTTCGGGGTAGGGCTTATATTGCAGCCCACCCCGAAAATTCAGCTAGGTCTTATTTTCGGGGTAGGGTGTATTTTCGGGGAAACACGGTATTTGCTGTACCTCCTTTTCCCTAAACAATAAAAAGGCCTAGGTATAAGAAGATAGTACTGTTCATGCACTTCAATGATAATACTAAGTGCCTGCAAAAAGTTCACCCCCAGTCTAATAACTTATTTTAAATGTGCCCCCTGATTTCTCTCTTCAATACTAAACTTGCGAGTCTTTATATCTCTGAAAAATCTCTGCATTGATGAGTCCTTAATGGAATATAAGAGACAACTGAAGTTCAAATAATGTATACCGTCAGAAAGATCAAGATACGGTATTAAAATCTGTGAAAGCGGTACTGGATATATCCACTCCATCTGTGTGTATGAGGGAAAGGACAGCCACCTTGAAGCCCCAAGTTATCCAGACTTTATAGGATCCGGTTGTGTGATTGCCTGTAACCAAATAAACCCCTTTGTTAAACAAGAGGTTCCACTGGTACCTAGACATCTGCTATACTAACATCCTACTATAAGGGACAATAAGAAAGTAATGTATGGGATTCCCACAACCGGTTAAAAAAAATAATAGAAAATGGGGGAAACAGCTGCTCTCTGACAAGCAGAACTGCTGGCAATAAATATAGAGACATGAAGGAGGCGTTCATTTTACCATCCACAGTTTGTGGGAAACAAGGCAGCAAAAAAGTGTTATTCTGTTTACAATAGTACAACAGGCACATGGGGGGGAGGAGACCTGTACAACCAATTGTTGCAGTCGTATCTTATAATGAGAGTACTAGACTTGGAGATTTGTTTTAGTCTGAACTGCAATTCATCCGAATTTGTGCCGATCAGGTGATTGGTCGAATTCCTGGAATCTGAACTGAAATGTAATCACAGACCAACCAGCAATGGCTGAGCTGAGCTCAGGTTGTGATTCTGTATTCCTGTTCTGTTTCTGGAGGATGGTAGCGGGAAATTGTCACCTAGAAAAACTTAACGCCAAAAAATGTCTGGCCCAAAATCCAAATTCTTTCATGGCAAAAAAAACATAGACATGATATCCCATCAGTGTGTCTGGACTAAAAAAAAAAAAAAGTTGAGAAGTCACAATTCTACAGGGATTATAAGCATAAACTATATCACTAGGTTTCTGTAATTCAAAGTTAAATCAAACAAACAAAACAAAAATTTTGTCTGCAAAAAAACAGGAAGAGATATTACCACTACAATTCACATAAAGACATATAATGATTTAAAAAGTTACATTTGGGTATTAGTATTATGCCCATAAATATAATTTGAGTAAGCTCCCAAGAAGGCGGGAAACACGGGCAGCCCCACAATCGAGGCCTACCTCGCAGCTTCTCAGGCGAGGCTTGACCTCATCTTCGCCAGATTCTGGGCAACACTGGCAGCAAAGTAAGGGGGCGCATCGGAACCTGACTGGCCCGCAGTTGAACCGGCGACGCTACAAACTCGCTCCCGCAGACCTACCAAACACCCGACACCACGGGGCAGATGGGCGAAAAAGCAGCGGCACACAACGACGAAGCGCACGCCTGCCTCCCCACGGAAGCCGGGAACACACTCCAAAAAGCAAGTAACAAGGGAGGGAGAGGACGGAGCCCAGACAAACAAGAATCCGACACTCACAGTCCCACAAGATGGCGGATCCGCGAACAGGAACGCCACGTGGCACCCAGCTGCAGAACAGCCACATACTCCCACAAAGAGAAGATCGCAGCATTAAGCCTGTCTGCTCCAGCAAGACCAGCGACCGCCTCACAGACTGGGCATCAGATGAAAGAAAGCGACGACCCGAGTTGCCTGATGGCACACTAAAGTGTCACCGCCGGCACAGAGAACATTATAGACCATGCTTAAGGTGGTGGACTCCTGTAACTAACTGACTCTTGCAATCTGACGTTAACCAATCCAGTTAATTTGTACACACGCACGACATAACACATTAGCCAAGCCTGCTTACATTGTGGCCTCACTATTAACGTGAACGCTCTACTGACTAAACTGACCACGCCTGTCTGCATAATGAACCTACCAATACTGACGAAGCTCTAAAGGACACAACTGACCAAGCATGTCCACATAGAGACCTTGCTAACATTAGAGGGGCTCTAACAACATAACCAACCAAACCTGTTTACATTGTGTTAACCTTTCTTTAAATATAAAAAATGTGCATGCTTACTCGTATACCTCACTGTTATAGATCACAACGAAATGCTGGAGAACTGCCGTTGGGGTACCTCACAAGCGACTGTCCTATAGACTGTAAGCTCGTTTGAGCAGGGTCCTCTTCAACCAATCGTTCCTGTAAGTTTTCTTGTAATTGTCCTATTTATAGTTAAATCCCTCTCATAATATTGTAAAGCGCTACGGAATCTGTTGGCGCTATATAAATGGCAATAATAATAATACTATGAATAAGCACTGCAAAAATAAAGAATAAAAAAAAAAAAAAGTGGACCTTGTGGGGTAATTTGCAATCATGAGCTGTCAAAATGCTCTCAAATTAGACATAGGGCAAGCATCAAAATTCAAACTTTGGGGGCGGGGCCGGACCACCATGCTGAGAGGTTGCATTTACGACAAGGTGAAGGAGGTGGACGGCCGCCGCCTCGCCATCCTGCCCTGTGGTTTCCCATTTGGAACTCTGATGCCACGCGCTACAGGCCATGTTTCCCCACCAACACCCCTCTTGGATCGGTGTGGGTCATCCCGGTCTCAGGAGACTGTCTCCGCGATCCGGAGCCCCTAGTTCAAGGAGGGCTCCCCATAACAAAAATGTCAGAAGCGGCAGGCAAACCTGATATGGCGGCACAGCCAGAGATCACCATGTCACAGCTGATCAGCATTCTCGAGGCTTTCCTGATGGTGGAAAAGCAGAGGGGCTCTCAACACAGCCAAGTTACTACTTAACAACCTATAAACGTGTGGGATTCCCGGCTCCTGCTGTAATGTGCAGTCGGGACTTGCTAACCGGTCCCTCATCACTTAACGCTGATACCCCTTCCGACCTGCATGGCACTCCTGCTTTCCAGCTGACTCTGGTGGAAGATCGGGTAAAGGCAAGGGATCACACACTAGGAGTGCACTCATCCCTCTCATCACACATCATGCTGGACTCACTCCTGTCATGCCAATGGCTTTGCAGATTGGGGGTTGGCTAAGCCTGAACTGTCTGGGGGACTCTCTCATGGTCTGGGCTGCATTAAGTGGAGATGGCTCCTGTTAATCCTGCCATATATGCAACTTGATTTATTATCTCTACACTCTAAGCAGTTTAAATTACATTCATTGCTTAAGCTTTTCTCATTACCTTCTCTCTTATTAATTTAGCTCTGCATTAAGTCTCTCTTGTCTTAAATTACAAAAATTGTGCTGTTTACCATTTCTACAAATCCAGCAGTGAAACTGTTAACTCTTATGCCAACTCTTATATATGTTTATACCATTGTTCTTGCTATAAACAAGCACATCAAAAATAAAGAATTATAAAAAAAAAAAAAAAAAGAAATTCAAACTTTGGAAAGATTTGAAATGGGATGTCTCAGATTTACTCCTTCAGCATCCATGGACAAATCACCACCGGAACGGAAAGTGAGTCATGATAGATTCCCTTTAAAAAAAAAATCAAGTCCAATGCCTCTAAACAGGCCTAAACGTTACTCAGAATGGGTCCTTGGAACACTCACCAGGAGTGATTTTCTAGTCGCTAGGGTTAAAATTTCACTCAACAATGGCTTATGAACAAGAGGAAATTTTGTGCTCTGCCATATGAGGTACTCTGACATGCCTACTTTTGGATGTGGTTGGCTTTGGGTTGTAATTTAAACAGTCAAACTGCTAAAATGCCCTAAAGTGAGCCATAGCCCTTTCAAACCATCTGTGAAAATTCACACTTTAAAAGCTACAATGGCCAGGTCTTTTATATTGCACTATAACTTCACAAGATAGTGACATGGCACACATTGGGGGTGTCTTACTCAGAAATCTTAGACGGTGAGCATAACTTGGGAGGTTGAATCACAATGGCACATATCAGATTTATAAAATGCAAAGCAAAAACTAAATATGTATGAAGAAAATGAAAAATAACCACAAACATAATCTAGTAAAAACAATGACAGCACAATGCACATACTCACATCATATGAGATACCTTGAATGTCTACTTTTACAAAGTGTGACCTTCTTGGGAGTCATTTGAGCTGTCAGGCACTTACAAAGCCCCAAAATTAAGCTTAGGCTTTAAAGTTAAGCCCCTGTTCCTCCTCCACATAGTGTAAAGTACCACCATGACCACAGTAAAAACAAAAGGCACACCAATATACTGCAGAAATATTTATTAAAATCTAAGAGAAACATGTACTGCCTGTAATCCTAGAAATAAAATAAGTTCATAGTAAGTAAAAATGTAGTTTATGATTCTGCAGAAAGGAAGCACACACCCAAGAGATACACAGAAGCCAAGAGAAGGGTGGGTCAGTCTATCTTTTTCTGCTGCCTAAAATACCTTATACCCAAAAGATGCTTCTTCAGAGGTCTGTACGTCCAATCTATAATGTTTGGTGGATGGCCATGTTGCAGATTAGTTCAGGCAAAGATAAAGCTTTAGATGGCCCTCGCGAAATGAGCACGCAGTAAAGGAGGCAAAGCCCTGTTTAGCTAGGAGAAGGCAAGGGAAATACTCTTAAATGCATCCGGCCAAAGTAGCTCTGGAAGCCATGTTACCTTCGTGATAGACAAGACAATAAGATGTTTATATTTTCAAAATTATATATTTTTTCCACAGGTAGCTACAGTTGTAATCAAAATTATTCGACCCCCATTGAAAATCTGGTTTATTGTTAGAACTTACAGACTTTGTACAACTTTCAGTTGTTGTACAATGAACAAATCAAAACAAAGTTGTTTTCCTAACACTGTGGTGGCACTGAAGGGGTTAAAAACAGGGAAAGGAAGTTAGGGAAGGGTGAGACCATAAGGTGTTTGCAATAGCAGACATGCAGGTTTAAAATCGTATTACCTCCTTTACTTTGCTTCTTTAAAGAGACACTATAGCCATTAGAACCACTACAGCTTAATGTAATGTTTCTGGTGTATCTAGCATGTCCCTACAGTGTTAGCACTTAACAGGCTCACAGTTCGCCCATGGAAATGCAACAATTCAATGCATTTGTAAGGAGATGCTGATTGGCGCAGCGCTTTGTCTTGCATGCACCATGCTTTCCTATTGCAAAGCATCAATGTCAGACATGGAGGCAGAGCTAGCCATGGCGTTGGAGAAAAGGCGTGGATCAAAGTTTTACTGCACAGAGAGGGAAATCAGTAACCTAAACAGCCACTTCAGCACTATTGTCAGCAATACAGGTTTGTAATTCTGACAATCTGGTTTCTTGATTGTGTTATTAGTACTGTGTATATCAGGGGTAGTCAACCTGGTCCCTACCACCCACTAGTGGGTGGTTCATCAGAAAATGTGGGCCAAGGCTGACAGGAGAGATCCTTTAATCTCCCCTGCCGGCTCATTCAGAGCCATCCTTGCATTTAAGCCCTCTTGGGCTGGTGACGAGATCAAAGAACTCCCTAATCGGCCCGCTGACACTTGGTTCCAGCAGAGAGAGGGAAGGGCATGTGTTCCTCCCACGAGCAGACTGGTCAAAGCATTGTCTCACGTTACCATGGCAACACACCGATGCTCACAGGAGGACAGGAGAGTCAGCCAGCCAGCGTAGCTGCAGGCTAAAGCGAACATGCCACCACTGGACCACCATGGATTGCAGCATTATATATACACACCTCCCTGGTAAAAGGTAAGAAGGGAGAGGGAAACATTAAGATAACAAAAATAGATAGTTAAGTACATTAAAAACGTTTTTTTTTTTTAACCCACCTTTCTAAAAATTAGTTACTGCGGCACTGGTGGGCGGTAAGAACATTTTACCATCAAATAAACAAAAGTGGGCGGTAGGTATTAAAAGGTTGACTACCCCTGGTGTACATACTGGACCACGTGCAGTATCAGAAACAATTCACATACTTAAAGAGACAGTTTAGGCACCATAACTTAATGAAACTGTTAGGAGGACCCCCCAGGCTCACTTACCTCAAGGGGTTAAACCGTTCTTAAACTCCAAAGTTGCTCAACTATCCCCAGGCGGCATACAATTTCTGAAATTTCAGGATCAGGAAGCGCAGAGTACTGCTGATTGGCTAAGTTCCATCAGCCAATGCTCTTAGCCACTGCCCCCCCATTCACAAAAAAAAAAAAAAAAAAAAATTAAAGCTTTTCAAGCCACCAATTTTCTGAATTAAGAGTCACTTGCCACCTGGGAAGAGTTGAGACAACTTTGAAGTTAAGCCCGTTGAACAGTTTAACCCCTTGAGAAGTGTGCCCATAAGCATCCAGCCACATTAACATTTAGATGAAGTTATTATGATGCCTGTAGTGTTCCTTTAAGTGATGTAATTCCCAGCTCTCTAACAGGGCTAGAGCTAGATCTACATTAGAGCCCAGTTCTGATAAACTGAGAAGTTTAATAGAATTAGTTGCTATCCTAGCACCGTAACAGCTTCATCGGAATGAAGAGGTTATGATGCAACAGAGTCCCTGGAGCATGGTTAAGACACTAGAAGTTTAACCCCAAAATATTCAGTTCGCTCTGCCACTCCACTTACGTTCACGTCAAAGGTTTTTAATTTAAGTGTTGATATGCAATTATGTTAAGAGGCACCCCAGTACAAGGCTTCTTGATTTAAGGCTTTGACTCAATGAAAGAGGGAAGGGAAATGTGGATGGGCACCGAACAAGACTTTGGAGTTAAAGTTAACAATTTAAAACCTGAAGGCAACCCTGCAACAAGGAACTCTGCTCATTCGAATTAAAGACACACACAATAAGCACTAAAAACAACTTTAGCTTCGTGAAGTGGTTTTGGTGTATAGATAATTTCACTTTAGTCCAACTGCTGTAGCCACACTTCACCCTGTAAGTGACCTACATTTCCTGTGGAGATCGAATATTTAAGCTTCCCTTAATGCAAGGAGACTGCAGTAGCATGATCTATACACTAAAACTGCTTCATTAAAAAGGGACACTAGTCATCAGAACAACTACCGCTTATTGTATTTGTTCTGGTGAGTATTATCATTCCCGTCAGGATTTTTGCAGTAAACAGTCTTTACATTACAGCCTAGGGATAATTCCACTGGCCACTTAGATGGCTACTAGAGGTGCTACCTGTGATAGTGTTGTACAGTACTGCCATTCAGTGTCTCCACCCTCTGCAGGCCAGGGCTGTTTCACAATGCCAGCCAATCCTATTGGAAAGCATTGTTATTGCCTCACAGAAATCATTTCCAACTTGCCTGACGTCAGCGGTAGCAATGCAGACATGAATACAAGTAAGGTTTTACTATATTTAGGGAGGCATATGGTGATTTTAACACTTTAAGATCAGGAAAACATGTGTCCCTAACCCTATAGTGTTTCTTTAAGCTAAAGTTGCTATGGTACCCAGAGTGTCCCTTAAGCATGCTGAAGTAATTCGAGTGCTTGTGACAGAGCTCCTGGCCCCCCATACACCTCCCCAAAGTGACATTAGGCCATAGTCTGTAAACAGATGTCTGGCCTTCAAACCGCTCCAAAAGTACGTGGCAGAGGAGCTTCTGCCACTGTGATTATATTGAACGTTTATGGGAAATTACATGTTAGCACACCAGGTGCAAATTTAATATAAGGCTTTGTGTTGTATTTTTGATCAGTGTCTTTATTAATGACCTTGCAGTGGGCAATACATACGATAACTTATTTGATGACAATAACAGATTTAACTTTAAAATTAAACATGGAACTTTACTGCTTAAATTACTTTTTATATATAAATACACCCACACACCATAGCAAGTCAACCACCACCACATCATATATTAAATAATGAAACATTGTGTTATGTAGCTTCTGTTTATTTTAAAACAGACATGTACGGTGGTAAAACCAACTTACAGCATTTGGGCTACCAAGCAGAGTGTGAGCACAACACATAATATCTGATAGGAGGCAGACCCTACATGGTTGAATTTATAAAAATCTTTAAAGTGTCAATGAAATCTGAATGATTAATGTCCATTTGTTTATTCAGTGAGACCAAGCTTCTTCTTCAAGGACTCTGGCATCTCAGGGGGAGGAGGACGAGGGAGTCTGAAGTAGACCTTCACTGAGTCATAGATAAACCATTGAAGAGCAGTTAAGGTACCAATCATAATAATACGGGCAGTCAATCCCTTCCAGACTCCTGAAAGACAAAGAAAAATATGTAGGTTTACATTTACTGAAAAAGTATTAATGTTCAAAAGGAATGTTGATGAAGTTGCAGAACGTACCTTTTGGCCCAAGTTTTTTCAAAACCTCCCCAGCAGTGCTACCCTTTTCTTTGTTCAGAACAGAGACCACAGAATCAGCAGGATGAGAAACAATAGCGCAGAACACACCAGCTATAAAAATAAAATAAAGAGGTTGTGAGAAATATTTCAAAATTACACCAGAGTAACCTTCCTGCAACTAGGACACAAAATTCACTTTGTTAAGATGTAATTTGGTCTTATTTACCCATTTAAAGAGGGTATAGAAAATAGCCCAATTTGAGAGCTACATGATAGTGATGACTAGAGTACTACCCACCCTTTTATATTGGAAAGAACATATAGAATACAAAAAAACAAACCACAGATTAGCATGATACACTTACCAATATAACCAGCCACAAACGTAACAATCAACTGTTCACCCTTTGAGCATTCACTTCGGGGCTTTGGAACAACATATTTATACAGAGCTTCAACTGTACGTTCAAAGCAGGCAAATTTCATCATAGTGTATGGAATCTGCCTCATCCAAAGAGGAGCAACACCTTTGTAGAAACTGCAGGAAAAAATAAATACGATTAGCAGGCAGATATTGAGATTTGCAAATATAGTGTGAAAACCTTGGCAACAGTTTTCCGACCATTGCTCACATTACGAGAGACTCAGCACCAACATCTGTGGCACTAAAGCATAAATTTCATCTAATCATGATTAATGAATCGTTAATGAAATGGTTAAGTAGAAGACTTAAATCTAAATATATTAATTAGCAGTGCCTGGCTGTGTAGGGTAATCTGGAGGTGAGTGCCATTATAGAATACTAGAGAGTCAGGAATATAAACATGTATTTATGGCACTACAGTGCTATAATGCAGCATTATGTCCCTAGGCTCTGCAGAGAATAAAAAAAGAAATTTCACATTAGAACAGCATTTTTTAGCATTTCTAAAACCCCAATTTGGCAGGAATCATCCTTGCAGTATTTTAATTTAACTGCGAATTTCTTTTTATACCCTCCACACTTTTTAATTACCCAGAAGCACGAGGCAATTGATTCAAGGCTGGCTAAGTTCTCATGACCAAACTCTGCCTATTTAAAAATCAACTTCAAGAGAAAAGATGTATTTTTGCAAGAAGCATGGACTATCATTTGATATACAGTAATGGCATAACAAGACATACTATCTAATAATCAGTGTTACTGCACAGCACGTTATATCTAAACCTTTACAAAAACAAAAGTGTGCACATGTCCGTGTGTCAGCAAAGCTCTGATAGTGGAACATGGCATACAACAATGTTGCAACCACTGCTAGCAGAGCACTCAATGCCGCCATACAGGTATATTAATCTCACATGCCAATGACTCAAGCACCTTCAACTGTACAACCAGAAAGTTGCTGGATATCCCTGACCTGGAACTGCTAAACATCAAGCAGAACTCAGGACCAGGTAGACATCCACAAAAGGTGGATCTAAGGGAGCATGTTAATTGAGACATAAGATCAAGCTTACGAAGCATAAGTCAATGTCTACTTACGCCCAGATCCCTTCTTCTGCGTACATCTTGGGTGCAGCTTGCCTCAGAGTATTTGCATAACCTGGTTGTGTTTGAATGCGCACCTTTGCAGCTTCCATTGGAGCCAGAGCAATATCAGCAAAAAACTCTGCACTGGCAGATGCAGCTAGGTAGAGGCTTGTACGCCACAAGTAAGTATTTTCCTAAAAAAAAAAAATTGACAAACATGTTATGTTACAGTATAGCCTGCTGAGGGCAAACTTGCACAAGTACACAAAGCTATAAGATCTAGACACCGTGATGCCATTGGAGCATAGGAAATACACAAGGATGTAGCCAACGAGAATATACATAGAGTATTAATCAGTCTATTGTTTCTTTATATCATGACCAGCCATAATAGTGTTTACTTACCTCCCCTAGAAGATTGCTGTACAGTACTTTGAACACTTCATAGAAACCAAATTTGCACAAGCCCTGCATGGAATAGCCTATGAATGTTGGTGCCCATCCTTTTGCAAGACCACGAACGCCATCTTCTTTAAGAGTTACAGAGAAGCCATTGAAGATGCTCTTGTATTTTTTGGGGTCCACCTAAACAAACAAATTAAGTATTGGTTTACAAACAAAATGAACAGAACAAGGTCAACAAACCGACATTTAACAATTTCAAGAGATCAGAGAATTCATGCAATTCAGAACAAAGTGTAAATATAAAAGTGTCCGCCATTGAAGTGCCAGGCCATGAACTAGTTAGAGCATACAAAATATGCTTACATGAACATGGGTAGGTGAATCAGAAAAAAAAAAAAAAAAGTGCATATTTTAACAAACACTCCAAGCACCATAACCACTGCAAAGTGCAATATATTTATGGAATGCACTGATAACTGGTAAAGAGTAAAACAGCTTTTCTTTTGGGAAAATAAAGTCAGTGAGTGAAATATAAAAGGCAGCATTAACACCAGTTTTAAAAAGAATATAATCCACACATTAAATGTACAATGAAAATGATAAACTGCCATTATCACAAGGGTGTATCTACTAAATTGGAAAATCAAATCAAGTTTGAAGATTTAGCAATTAAGGAGACTAGGCAGCAAAACAACTTTAGCTCAATTAAGCAATTTGGGCATATACGTTATGCCCTTATTTATAGTTTAATATATGCTAAATACTCTACCATTTGGATAAACCACTTTGTTTATAAAACTCTGGTCACACCTCCCTGCATATGCACGTTGCAGAGCCTTCCTAAACAATTTGTGTAAGAGATCTAAATGTTTAAATTTCCTTTATTGCACATTATGTTTTAGTAAGAATTTCTTATCTCCTGCTCTATTATAGCCTTCTAGACCCTACAGTAACCTCCTGTTATTAAATTCTCAACCCAGTCCTCAAGGATCCCCAAACTGTCCAGGATTTAGGGATTACCCTGCTGTCTCTAATGTGTTTTAGGTGGGGAACAGGGGGGGTGGGGGGACAAAAACTTTAGACACAACAGGGGAATCCCTAAGTCCTGGACTTGTAGGGGGTCTTTGAGGACTGGGTTGAGAACCCTTGAATTAAAGGAACAAACATGTTTTAGAAATGTCTGTTTAGATGACCGAACCGCTCTCACCTTGCAATTAGAGGGTGATTTAACTCACACGTCCATCGCGGAGATCATAACTGAAAAGGCAGTGTTTACATTGAAAGCCCTGCAGGGACAAGCTCTAGACACCACAAACACTGGATTCAGCTGTAATGGTTCTCTTGACTATAAAGTCAGAAAAATGAACATGTAGGTTTCTTTGCAATCCAGTTTAGTGAATGAGGAGTCACTGACTGGCTGAGAGCATCAGCCACCAGAGGAGAAGGAGTGGTGACCGGTGCTGGAGGCCTTTCTGGGCTTAAACTGCTTGAGAACGTAATCTTAAATTCATTTAAATTGAGTTGTTTTGGTGTCTGGAGTATCCCTTTAAGTAAAAGATCATTTTTAAAATCCACCTGGCTATGAGAGTCTGAAATGAATAGATTGCCCAGAGTACTAGTACTGCACATGCATCTGCAGTTTTCCATTATACGGCGAGTACACTAAATTTCAAAATTCAAAGCATGCAGGATCAAACAAATTCTAAAGTGGCTATATTATAAGCTCTTTCAAACAGTGTCCTGATCAACCTCTTGTTTATATACCCACTTCACTAATTGTTAAAATTGTCCCTTTATAGTATTGTACAGCACTGCCAGAAAAGCTGGCGTAATAAGCGATCACAGAGACAAGTACCACAAAATATGCATACTGTACATCTATCTAGGATTTTGCAGTGTAGGAGGGTGGTGATAAAGCACCCTGGATATTAGAAATTTAAAAGCTGAAGACGTGACAGCTGACTAAAGGGTCGTTACAGCGGTTAAAGAACTATTAAAAAAACACATACTGCTTTGTCAGCTTCAATGCTGGCACTGCAGCAAGGCTCATCAGACCAAGTAAAAACACAAAGGAATATATTAAAAAAGGGTTCTGTAAGCAAGCAACATCATGTTGGGAATAAAATAAATTCTACTTATTTTATTCACATGAACGATAAATCTGTGTGCAAAAAGCATAGAATACCACTTGATTCACAACGCTGGCATAACAATACATACTAGCTAATAATCTGTGTTACTGCATGGCACATATCTAAATCTTTACAATAAAGTGTGCAAGTGTCCGTTTGTCAGCAAAGCTCTGATAGTGGAACATGGCATACAACAACATTGCAGCCACTGCCATCAGAACATTAACAGCCTCCAATACAGGTATAGTAATTTCACATGCCAATGACTCAAGCACCTTCAACTGTACAACCAGAAAAGTTGTTGGATGTCTCTTACCTGAAACAGCTATTCGCTGCTCAGCATAAGAAGGACATCCACAAAGGTGGATCTAAGGGAGCATGTTTTTCAGTACTACTACAACGTTTGCACAAGTCATATCACCCAGAGTCAATGTGAAAGACACAAGGGACACATACAAAGGTTTTAACCAGGTAGTTTAAAAAAGGAGCAGTCTGACACTTTCACTTAATGAAAATAAATCAAATCATGAACAGGATTATTATCACCAATGCTTTAGTATGAACTGCTGCTTTACCAATATTTGAAGCAGGGTCGGACTGTGAGTGACTAGGTTTCACACTATAGTCTCTTTTGGTGCCCTGAGTTTCCCCTTAAAAGCCCCCAAATTTTAGCAATTTCTATTTTCATGGTTCTGGTACACACTAAATACCATAACCACTACAGTGCACTATTGTGGTTGTTGTGTCTATTGCCCATCCACCATAAGTAAACGGTTTGCGGGTGTCTTAATGCTCAACTTCTCATCTGGGGTCAGCCGGTCCCTGCTGCTCTTCTAGTACAGGGAGCAAAAGCTCCCGAGTTAATCTATGCCATGCTGAACTAATTAGTGGCTGAGAGTGTCAGCTAATTGCACGCAGCCTACAAAGCTATGCACCACTGGGCCTTGCTCAGTCAAGAGAGCTTCTGGGCTGCAGAATCCCGATGGAAGCAAACTATAGCATTAATGGTACTTTTAGTGACCCTTAAAAAAAATTACAAAAAAATATAAAAATTACACCTATACAAGACATGTTAAAAAACAAAACATTAAAACAGTTATAGTATTGTGTGAAATACCCACCTGAATACGACATTTCACCAAATCCAACGGTACGACAGCAGTGTGAGTTAAACCACAACTGAGGATGCCACCAAAGCCACACATTGCATAAAACTGTGCTGAACCATATTCACAGCTGTAATCACCTGTAGTATAAATATTAATACACACCATGCTTTAAGTAAAAACACTCGACGTTCATATTTAGTAATAAACAAGCTTGCCAAATCAGTTAGTTTATATTACAGCAGTCATTTAGTGGGAACCATGCTGAGACAAACCTGGATCCTGCATTTAACCAGATCTAGAGGGACTACTGCAGTATGAGTTGTACCACAGCTTATGATTCCACCAAAGCCACAGAGAGCAAAGAATTTTGCCGATCCGTAAGCACAGCTATATTCATCTGTTTGATTAAAATTGACAGGTAGAAACATTACAAATCTAACCTCTTACCAGAATAAAACACTGTAGACATATGTATAAAAGTTTTAAAGACCACCTGGGTATCTGGGTACTACCATTGTGTGCTAATCCATGTATGTCTAAAGCAGGGGTGCCCAAATGGTAGACCCCAGATGTTTTAAAAACTACAGCTTCGGTGATGCTTTCTCATTCTAAAAGCATGCAAATCATGGTAGTTAAAGTTCTACAACATCTGTGTTTGACCTTCTGTGGGAATCAATTTTTAGATAAAATCACAGTAAAGCCATGTAGCTGGGGCTGTATGCCCACCAATTACATTCAGGAGAAAATCAGTTTAAAGTAGTAATGACAGCTAAAGTGAATTCAATGTCATTAGGATCAACATACCATCTTGTACAGCAGCAGCAGCAAGGTGACGAGTGGGTTGGGCCTGAGGGTTAGTACATTTCCTGGAAGTTACAGAGTCTTGTCCCAGTTGGAAGTGAGGAGCACTGAAGGGATTTACCCGGGCTAGCTGCGCTACAGATGAATACATTTTGGCAGCTGTGAATAAATAGAGAAATAAGCCATAAATAAAAGAAACAGCAATATATTACATCTACTTAACCAAAAACCAGGCAGAATATTGTGTTAAACAGCAATGCCTTTACTTCATAAGTACCCAAAAACTTTAAAAGTAATGGACACGTCCATAAGACTGAGCCAAAAAAACATCACGAGTCTCCCTCACTCCCATATCACTTACAACTAGATGCCATGCAATGGTTGAGACTAAACAACAAAAAAGGTAATACAAAACAAATTAAAACCTTCTACAGGCACTGCACACAAGTTTCATAATAATAAAAAATTAGTATTACTAATGAATCAGGTTTTAGGCCAACACAGCTGAATTGGAATACTATATCTTTATACTGATTTCAGACAGTTTTTGACCTAAAAAATTAAAATTCCTTATTATTCACACTTTGGATTATAATACGCAATGATATAATGTAAAATAAAATTAAAAGTGTAGTCTAAAAGGATTGTTGATTTGCCATGTATATGGGAAGATTCAAACAAACTGCAAACTGTACAGTAAAATAACTGACCTGAAAAGGATTCTTGGCTCACCAGCTTTTCCAGCTCAACTATTCTGGTCCACTAGTTACAATCCTGTTGATACCTCTCAATTACCTACCCAATCCCTTTATAAAAAAGGCACTTCCAACAGTATTGACTAAAGATAAAATTTAAAGAGAATTTCAAGTTTAAAGCCTGATTAGTGAAATGGGATGCATAGCTGACTTGTAGTCTTTCATTCAGCTATTTTGACCTTAAAATATTAAGTTAACTTTGAATCCACCTTGAATTCTCACCTGTGGCAATTAAAGGGCCAAAGACCCTCCTGACTTACCAGATTCCCAGTGCTGGCTCAATTGCCTTTCCCACAGGAAAGAATTAAATCAATGCTTTCCTATAAGGATTTGCAAGATGCTGGACATGCAGAGTGCGAGTACGTCCGGTGTCATGTTTCAGAGTTAAGATTTAGAGGCAGTAAAGACCTCTAAAACTGCAATATTTTACATTGCAAGGTTAAGGGGACAGGGGCACTGCACCCAGACCACTTCAATGCAATGAATCGGTATGGGTGCCCACAGTGTCTAATCATATCCTCTTACTAAAAGCACCTTAAACACAACTGGGTAATCCCTAAATCCTGGACTGGTAGGGGGTACTTGAGGACTGGGTTGGGAACCTCTCATATACAAAACACGCTTACATTTTTAGGCAAATATCTGCATTCACAAGTCATACTATGGGTGATATACAGAGTAAAAAAACGCAATCCCACCAGAGCAGCAACGGTTCGACCCTGCGGTATACAGCAACGCTGCGTTATGTTAGTACATTGCTCCACTACTGCGATAAGAGACTCACTCTGATTATGCTCCATGGACACACGGGATGGCTGCTATAGGCGCTCAGTGACTGACCCCGGCCTGTACTGGGAGAGCCCTGTAGCAGGGCCTCAATGTCAGCCATTGCACCTCACGCAGGGCCGCCGGGCGAGGTGACCTCTGAGCGATGCGAACACCTCCCCCCCCGCTTTATCCATTGTGAACGGCAGCACCCACACACGGCCGAGCGCCGCCAGCACAGAGCAAAGCGCCCACCCCGGGCTCGGTATCACCGCCGCAGCCAGCGCGCTGCACTCACCTCCTAAGATGGCGCTCACTTGGCCCCTCACCGGCTGACAGAGAACGCTCGTCCTCCAGACCTAATGAATTTGTCCTTCCGTGACGTCACCGCGACGCCCCCTCACCGCTCTGCGTCGAGCCGATTGGTCGGAGCGTCAGAGTCCGCAACGGTCGAACGCTCTCATTGGGTCGTGGGTTGGGGGAGGGGCGGGGCCCGGGTTGGGTGTACGTCATGCCGCAGCGCGCCGTGTCACGTGCTGGGACGTTGCTGCGTTTCTGGTTGCGCCGTGCTGAGAGAGCACGTGACTGGGGCGGTATCGCGTGCTGGAGGAGCCGCAGTGAATGTCACCGTTGGAGAGGTGACCTTATCTTATCTGATCCACACTGGCTCTGGCTGGGCTGGAAGGATTGGGTCAGGATCAGTCAGGACTGAGCTGGCACTGCTGTCAATACAATCACTGTTAAAGGGACACTGCAGTCACTATAAGCATTTCATCTCTTTGAATTGGTTATAGTGCCTGGAGTGCCCTGGCACTGTCCCTCCATTCAGTGTTGCACCATGTTCGTGCAGTATGCCACAAAATAAGAGTCCCTGGCCACCCACAGTCCGGCCCCTTCTGTATATGTAGCTAAGGCAGAGATTACACGCTTCCTTGTTGTCATACTCATTCATACCGTCAGTTGGAGCTCTGACAGGCTAAAAGCAGTCAGCTGACACTCTCAGCCAATCACAGCTGCCCATTGCTGCTCAGGGTAATACTTCCTTATTAGCCAAAGCAGCACAGAGGGGATGGATTGCCGGGGACTCTTGTTTAGCATTAAAGCATTAAAACTTTAAAAACTGTTTAATGTTGAAAGAAATGATGGTACGAGAGGACTCCAGACACTATAACCAGTTTAATGAGATGAAGCAGATACAGTGCCTATGGTGTCCCTTTAAATAAAGCAGCACTGTCACCTTTGGGCGCTTTTTAGGAATGGCAAAGACGCCAATGGTGACATCGCCGCTGGGGCTACAGGGGGGCCGGCAAAGGTGAGTTCTACTAACCTGAATCTGGCCCCCGTGGGCACCGCCATCCTCTCCCGGCGGGTGCTCTTCAGCCGCCGTCCGTGCTGTGCCTTGGCGCATGCTTTGACGTCTATGGGAGAACCGCTATGAGGTCCATGGAGGAGACCACTGGATTCAACGTAGACAGAGCCAATTCCCTGCAGCCGTCACTGGTGAAGGCCGGGAGATTGACCGTTCTCGACAGTGGGAGCTCCGTCCAGTGTCTAGAAGTATCAGGCGGCGGAAATATACAGAGTAAATCTTGCCCACGGCTAGTGTTTTGGCTTCTTGTGCCATCAGATAAGGGACCTGCGACGCCAACTCCCATCCTTATTCACGGGGGTTTTCTCCTCACAGTCCAAAGAGCTAGCCCCTGCTCGTCAGGGCCTCACATGTCTCTACTTGCTGCCTCAAGGCTAGTTTCCGCCCGCAATATGCCCCTCACATTTATACACGTATATTAATGCATGTGTGTTATAGTAATTTTATATTCTGATTATCGTGTATGTACAGAGTGTATAAATGTTAATTCATATATACTAATATACATGCCTACATATGTGCACATGCATATTCTCCCACAGTTTAAAAGTACACTTTTTTTTTTTTTTAATTAAAACTTTAGTCTTTGTGAAGAACATTGCAAACACACGCACAGGTAGCTGGCCACTGGGCAAGGATGGCTGCTGCTGGCCTGGCAGATCCCTTGTTGGGCACGCTTGTGGATAGCACTGTGCCCTAGTTTGAGTGGAGGGTGAGCAGAATAGGGGAGGCTAATAGCTCTTTGCTGCAGGCCTTCTGTGCTGGCAGTCCTCTTTTGACCATTTTACCTCCCTCGCATGCATGGAGGAGGTCGCACTGGTTCTGTTATAGCCTTACCCTCAGCAGCCCACCGAGTAGGAGAAAAAGCAGGGCAGTATTCTCCTATTTGCGCGGCATGGGGCCTGCTCCCTCGGCATGAGATGGGCTGGCCGGTATTAGAGATATTTGATCTTCCCACCTGTCGTGCCGCCACCTCATGCCTAAGGCCCATGGCCTTGGTGGTCTTATGGGAAATCCGTCCCTGCCTGTGCTTAAACTCCCACTACTCTTGGGCAGCAGCAATGGTTTTAAAAGTCGTAAGCCAAATGCATAGTACAAAAAAAGTTACCTGTGCACTATCCCTATGCACATTTAAATAACGAGGTTTTTAGCATCACTCCAATAGTATGTAAGCTCTCCTGCACTAAGAGTTCACCCTTTTGATGCCAGCTAAAAGGCAAAATCTCTAATGAAATAGAAAGTGGTATTCTCATAAACCTCTACACACTTATTAACCTATAACGGGGCAAACACGGAATGAGTGGCAGCACTGTAACATGGCTGTGTAATACAAACACACACACACTTAAAGGACCACTATAGGCACCCAGAACACTTTAGCTCAATGAAGTGGTCTGGGTGCCAGGTCCATCTAGGGTTAACCCTGCAGCAGAAAACATAGCAGTTTCAGAGAAACTGCTATGTTTACATTAGGGTTAATCCAGCCTCTAGTGGCTGTCTCATTGACAGCCGCTAGAGGCGCTTCTCACCGTGATTTTTCACAAACAAGTTTGTTTTCCTGGCACTATAGTGGTCCTTTAAGCCCTGTGCTCAAACTCCTTGTACTCTTGGACGGCAGTAATTTTTGTGGTATTTATTATCCCAAATAACCACATCTACACACAATATTAAAGCATCAGAACAAAATGGGAGAATATACAAAAATAAGAATGCGGTATAGGTGTAGCATTCTGATTGTACCTAACCGCTGAAAGTCTTGACAAAGTTGCTACTAGCCAGAAACGGAGAAGGAAAACATATATAATGGTTACAACGCATAACACAGACAAACAAAAAGATTATTCCTCATTGAAAGTCTCTTTATGAATAAAGACTTTCTTGGGTATAGGCTGACCTAACCGAAATCAAGTGCTGAAACAATTAACCTACCATAGGTAATTGTGAAGACCTAACTTGTTTCCAAGCAGAATTGAGTCACGAGAGGCCAATTCCCCGCCAGAAATTGGTCTCTCGGTGACAATTATATGATTCAAGACCAATAGGCCATGACATGTGAGGCCCTGACTAGCAAAAGTGGCTGCATAGCGAGGCGCTAACTGTTTGGGCTGTGGAGAGAAAACTATTCAACAAACCTATACCTAAAGCTATAGGAAAGCCCTCATAAGATACCCAACATGCTTAACTAAACTCGGCACTTACAAATTCTGACACCTGCAGTGATTCGTGCATATAGCTAGGCCCTATGTAAACAGTGTAACAAACGTATAAAACGTAAACAATGCATCCGATAATATTCCTCTGGTGAAATGCCAAAGTGTCCAGTGCAACATGTACTAAAACGAAATAACCCTAAGAAACCAAATATTGCACAGTCAAGACCAGCAAACCAGTAAAATAAGACCTATTGAACCAAAATAAAGGAGAACCAAATTACCCATGCAAAGGGTGTGTGACGAGAGCAACCTTGCCACATTGCATTGGAGAAGCCTGGTTGCTTGCCTGTTACCTTTGGATTATGGCCCCATGTTAAAAGACTTTGTTTCCCCTGCAGAAAAGACTTATTCGTGTTTTTCTGCCCGGTGTTTGGTAGATTCAATCTACCGAACAACCACATGAATGACTAGACCACCTGGGAGCTGGAGTGTGTCGGCAATTAGCCTCCCAGAAGCTGCGGTTAACCGCAGCTTAATTGACAAATACTGGGTGGCCGCCATTCGTATAACGAACACGAGGTTGCGGCCATTTTAAACACATGAACACATAGCGGTGTTCGACGCCTAACTCATGGAACTAAAAACAGTTTGGCACGAACACCGCTGAAGCCGCCGACCTCCCTTCTTGTTCGGTGGAAGTACACGAACGGCCCGGTATTTGGTAGTTGTACCTGACTGCACTATACCCCAGATAAGAATCCCATGGAGCTCCTTCGTATGAGAACTGACTTTGTGAAGACTTTGGCTCCATGGCGATTAAACTGTATTCGTGTGGTCTGAGCGCCATTCGCTTAATAATGTGCGCTCAGACCTGAGCTATCTGGGGATATGTTAAATGTATCGTTTTATTGTAACTTGTGTCACATATTTTATGTATTTTAATAGTAATTCTTATTTTAGTATCCCCATGTGCATAATGGCAATTTGCCTTTGTCCTGGGAGATAATTGAATTACTTCTCAATTATCTCCAGGGCAGAGGGGAGGAAGCCAGGATGCATTGTGGCAATATAATGTGATTGTGTGTCCTAAATTGATACTTGTCTGTCTCTTGTCACAGTCTCCCATTTGGTCCCCTAGGGGAGTGTCCACCAGGTGGGAGACCTGCATAAATACTGGGCAGGTAGCCCTCATTAAACAGACCACTGCTTGACCCTCAACATGGAGCTTTGTCTCGTCTTTGGGGGGATTTACTATATGCTGTTAGAGACTGATTGCTAGGAGTGTAAGCCGCTTGGGTGCTTTTCCTATTCGTCTGCTAGCAGCTATTTGTATGGTTCCAGTTTGTGAGTTTGGAGTGCTATATTGTATGCCGTTCGGGAGTTTGGAGCATTCCCTTACATGCGGTTCGGGAGTTTGGTATTCTACAGTAGCTGTGCCTGCATCTCTGAAAGGGGACGATCGCCTAAACGGTTTTAACCCCTCGTGTGCTGAAACTGTCCGTTACAGGGTCTATACTGGTAGAGCTTATACCAGACCACCCCTATGGCTGTAAAATTTGTGCATAAGGCATAATAAAGTAGGTGCAGAGTGTGTGGTAGCACCTCCATATAGAGCGTCTATTGGAAACCACCACATAAGGGCACACAGTGAAAACGAACGTAAGGTGGACAGTGAAAGGATGCATAAGTATGCAAAGAAACTATGCAAAGGTTTGTGGGGCAAATCTGCAAGGCATAACTGTAAAACCACTCATAGTGTAACCGTGTTCTGAGTATATGAAAAAAACAATGCGCCAGGTATACAATGAAACCACGCCTAGAGTAAATAGAGAAATCAAGAAAAACAACTTATAACAACCCAATGCACGGTGACCTATAGTAAGCAACACCAAGAACATGCAATGAGAATATGGAAGACAACAAAGCAAGCTAATACATATGGCGACTTTGCAAAACAAAGTGTGGTATG